CGTTAATGTTTTTGTGGAAACCGTGATACATTTTATTTTTCAGGATTCACAGATGAACAGAAAGTTAACAAGAACAGCATTTATTAGAAATAGAAATATTTTGTAACATTATAAATATCTTTACTGTCACTTTTGATCAATTTAATGCATCCTTGATGAATAAAAAGATTTTAAAAGTAGTTTTACTTAAAAAAACAACAACTTATATATATTTTATATATTAAAAATAATAAATGCAATATTAAATTATCTAACTAAATAATTGTAATATATAATTTAATCTTTAATTTAGAAAATATGTACATAGTTTTTTTTCATATAAAAATGTGTATAATCAAATTTAATAGCAATTAAGTATAAATAATATTTTTTAATTAACAATAATATTATCTAGAGGCTGAACATTACTGAAATATTCTTGGAAGAAAGCATGTGCAGCTAAAAACCTTAAATCCAGCACTTTCTGTGAATTTATCAGTGCTGTGAATTTCTGCACAAATATCTCATTTTAAAAGTTTTTAAGTTCCCAGTTTTATTGTTGTGATTTTGTTTTTATGATTATTTTACTTTCTTTTATGTAAAGCACTTTGAATTACCATCGTGTATGAAATGTGCTATATAAATAAACTTGCCTTGCCTATACAGCTTTAGTTCTATACTAAAAAACTATTGGTGAAACATCATTTTATTTTTATTTTATTTGTTTAGTTAACAGGGACATTGTACATTAATAAAACAATTACATAGCACAATCCATAAAACAGTCTGTTAATAAAAACATATAAGGTCAATCAAAAACAATATCTGTCTAGCTTTTTCCACACGTATGTAAGTCTATAAGTGAAGCTTGAAGTTTTAGTTTTACACAAAAGCCTGACAGTAACTTTATTCTTCTGAATAATTCATTCCCGCAGCAGAATCCAACCTCTGTAGATCTGGCAGCCAGCAGGAGAACCAAAGAAGAGCGAGCCAGGTCTGATTGTGTGTTCACAGTGCGTGTGCTAAACTAACATACGCTGCTTTTCACGCGTGTTTCATGTGATCCGTGTGTGTTTCAGGCTGCTTCTTCAGGAGCATCATGAACAGAGAGCGCGTGACGCCTGCGGTCTGATCTCTGAGCTGCTCACCACACCCATCAACCTTCCCACAAACCCACAGCAGAGCCTCAGGTGCATTCTGGGACTGCCTCCTCTGTGCAGGCTGCAGTTGTTGTTTTTGATGCAGATCTAGTGCTTTGTTTGGAGAAATCCATGCTAAACGCCCTGCGCTGTGTTTCAGGATCACCGGGAAAAATAAGAGGATTCCCAGGAGTCAGAGCGGACCACAGGCTTCTCTGGGAAAAACCGTCGTGCTTCAGAGGAAGTCTGCAGCGAAAACACACGGCTCTTTGAGCGGCAGACTCGGCCTGCACAGACCAGGTTCGTATTTGTGTCATTATTTCATTTATAAATGTGACCAGTGCTTGCAAAATGAGTCGGAACGAGCACATTTTCAAAAATGTGGCCCTGGACCACAAAACCAGTCATAAGGGTCCATTTTTTGAAATTGAGATGTATGCATCAGCTGAAAGCTGAATAAATGAGCTTTCCATTGATGTATGGTTTGTTAAGATAGGACAATATTTGGCCGAGATGCAACTATTTGAAAATCTGGAATCTGAGGGTGCAAAAAAATCTAAATATTGAGCGACTTAAGACTGCTTTTGTGCTCCAGGGTCACAAATGAGTTATATTTATTTCCATGTTCTCCATTAAAATACCTTCAAAATAATATATGACTTGTTGGAATCAACAAAAAATGACTGAGCTACATATTTTAGAGAAAAATCAAGTCAAATTTTCTGAAGATTCCAAAGCAAAATCACTGAGCAACGTTGCATATGTTCCTCCAATTCTTTTATTAATATTATTAATCACAATATAGCTATTTTTTTTATCTTTGTTATTAAAAATAAGACCAAAGATGCAAATAAACAGTAGATTAATCAAGAGCAGCGAGTGATTCCGTCTTTTCTTTTAATGTATGATTAACATTGAGACCGATCTATATTAAGACCTACTGTAAAGCATGGATCTAATATAATGTCACACATCAGATTTTTCCCCAACCATTCACTAAACGTTCATGTGAGACATAACAGATTATGTTTGTGTGAATCTCGCCAAGACATATTTAGCAATAATGTACTTTATAGGGAGATCGCACACTCTCGAAGAGCTTTGCAAATGTCAGTCAGCGCAATAGAGAGATAGATAGATAGATAGAACGATGATAGATAGATAGATAGAATAAAGATAATTTCAGATGTTTAATTACTATTTGGAGCATTGGGATCGCTAGAAAAGGGCTTAATGAACTCATTTTTGTGAAAACTTCAAATTTGACCAAAACGGACATTTTTCACTTCTTTTGCCTGTAGCTCAAAATTAGACCTTGTGCGTTCACACTCATTCTGCCAGCACGGCTCACAGATGTTGATCATTTGAGTATGGTTTCAATCCCACGTTGCTGTGTTTCAGCCAGCGCTCTTCCAGCCGATCGGTTATCCAGGGTGACTCGCCGCGGGATGCTGTCCGACCCGAAGTCCAGACAAGACACGAAGACCGTTCATCACCGTAAGGACAGTTTGGACATGTTTTTGTAAAAATATCAGAATCAGAATGAGATTTATTGCCGAGTGTGCTTACACGCACACAAGGAGTTTGTCTTGGTGAAACCAGGGTTATTATAGATTACTAAAACTGAAACTAAAAGCATAAAAAACTGGGTACTTGAAATTAATTTTAACTTAAAAATAAAATGTATTAAAAAACTTATTTCATTTCAGCTAGTTGCTGAGGCAGCATTTCTCATTTTCATTTGGTTTAACTTGACATACTAAAATAACAAACTGAAATAAAATTTAATTTTAAAAAACTAATTCTGAATGTTAATAAAAACTATAATACTATCTCCGTGATACTAAAATCAGCATGATTACAAATGTGATTTTATACAACAGTTCAAAAAACAAGAAGTTAATATTAAGAGACTTAGACACCATATTTTCTGATTTTGCACTATTTCGCCAACAGAAATAATTCCAAACACAGCCACAGCACAGTTTTGCGTCTCTGAGCAACATGACGGTGATTCGTTCCTGAATGAATCAACCGTTTAAATGATTCGGTTCAATCTAAATGACTCACTTATTAACGGTGACTTGCTGCCACCTGCTGGCGGCTTTAATTTCACATTCAAAGTATCTTTTCAATTTTTTTAATAATTTCAAATATCAGTATTCAACGTTTTATGTATCAAAACATTATTTATGCACATGTAGCTGCAGGTTAAATCATTCCATGTCCCTCAGAGCTGCATTAAACCGTGTGTAAATCCATCTATTCCACTTCTAATTCAGCTTCTGTGTTTCCTCTGCATTGCAAAGATGAATTTTGTTGATACTGATTTCACTTTATTATTTTGTTTATTATTTTATTTAAAAAGAAAAATCTAACTAAAACTAAATGTGACATGCTCACAAAATCTACTACATATTTACATAATAAATATACACATTATACACTCATATACTTTGTAAATAAAAACGTTTATTTTGAATGCAATTAATCACGATTAATCGTTTGACAGCACTAATATATATAGCTAGACAAATAGTGTATGTACACAATAAACATAACTAAATTTAGATAGAAATATATAAAACAAGCA